GGGCCCAGCACCTTCCGCATACTGCCCGCCCCCTTGCTGGACAAGGACAGCCTGTTGTGGGAACCCCGCGAGTCCGTACTGGCCGTGTCGGGGGGGGCTCCCCCCGGGGGTGCAGGGGGAGGGGGAGGGGGAGGTCCGCACGGGCTGCCCCTGGCCCCCCTTGTGGAGGGGGAGGAGATGCATACCGCTGCAGACCTGAAGGCGGGAACCCCCCTCTTCCCCCCCGTCTCCCAGCTGCTGCTCCCACCGCCGCTACCCTTCCACATGTCCCGACAAGCCAACAAGCAGTCCCAGTCCCCCTCCCCCGCCCCCACTGCTACCCGGCTGCATGTCACCCCCCCCACCCCCCCCACCCCCGCCCCCACCGCGGGGCCCCGGGACGTCACGGAGCTACTGCTGCTGCGGGACGAGCAAATGCAGCTACAGCTACAGCTGCGGGGCTCAATGCCGTCACTCATGCTGGGTCCGGGTCAGCCCCCGCACGAGGACGAGGAGGCGGCTCAGGAGGAGGAGAAGGGGGAAGGCAGGGGATTGGCTGCGACGGCGGCGGCTGTCGTCCGCATCGTCAACGCGCCCAATGGCGGCGGCGGTGCTGTTGCGGTTGCGGTTGCCGACGGCGGCGGCGGCGGCGGCGGTTCCGAAACCAGGGCCACGTCAGGTACAGCTTCCGGAGCTGCTGCAATCAGTGGCAGTGCTGTTGCTGCTACAGCTATCGCGGCTGCGGCCGCTACTGCCGCGGCCGTGGGTGGTGTGTCCGGTGCAGGCCATCATGCGGGAGATGTCGTACAACCGGGGGCCGCGGGTGGGGGTTTGCCGAGGAGGAGTTCCAGCCGACTGGAGGACACGGGGGGTGGGGGTGGGGGTGGGGGGCAGCAGCTCGGGGGGCGAAATCACCATCATCATCATGAGCAGCAGCAGCAGCAGCCACCTGAAGCAGCAGCAGCAGCAGCAGCGGCAGCAGCGGCAGCTGTGCAGGCCGGTCAGACGGCTGCTGTAGCTGATAGTGGAGGTGGGTGGTGGTGGTGGCAGCGGCGGCGGCGGTCCCGGGGGCCAGCTGGGGGGCGCGGTGGAGGCGGGTCAGGGGGGGGGAGCGGGCCGAGTGGACGGCCTCCACCTCCCCCCCTGGGTGGGGCTGAGGGTGACGTGGTGACGGAGGTGGCGGCAACAGAGGAGGCGTCGCCCTTGGGTGAGGGTGAGGGCGAGGCGGCTCTGGCACTCACCACCCGTGTTTGAGGTCCCCCCAGGTCCCCCCCTCCGGCCCTACCGGGTGTGGGGGGGTGCGGGGGCTGAGGGGGGAGGTGGTGCACACCCCGCCGGCTTGTGGGCCAGGGGTAGGGGTAGGCTAGGACGGGGGGTAGGGGTAGGGGTAGGACGGGGGGTAGGGGTAGGACGGGGGGTAGGGGTAGGAGTTCGGTTGAGGACAGCCATGTGTGTGTGCGATCAAGGAGTAGCCATTTTTGCTTCCTGCCACAGCGGAAGCCGTTCATCAGTTCATTTACTTGCTCAGTTGGCGGCTGTGGAGGGGGGATGAGGACTCCCCGGGTGTGTGTGTGCTTACTCCGCGGGAGTAGGAGAGGTGACTTCGACAGAGCGACATACACGACATACACAGATAGACACACCCGCACGTCGCGACCGGCGGGCAGCAAAAAAAGGGCTTATGTTTATGTGATACGGATACTCCTATGTACAGCATTTTCTGTACGACAGTCTAACCCTGGCTTTGCTGTGCAGCGGTCAGCCCCTGGTGCTGACATATCTGTGACCGTTACGTACTGCATTCATGTACGGCAGGAGGGATGACACCCGGACAGCAGTACATGATTGAGTGAGCAGCTCGTATATTGTTGTGTGTATATAGAGTCTAAGAAGCACGAGAGAGAGAAAGTGTTCCAGAGGGGAAAATTTTCTTCATCCTTTTGCGAGCTTCGTTCCTGCTGCTCCTGCTCCTGTTCGTACTAACATAAAGCTCCTCCTGTTCGAGTTCGCTTTTCCCGGTGCGGTGCGGTGTCCCCGGCCCCCTTTCCCCGCCCCGGCCCGGCCCCCCGGGGGTTGGATCAGTATCTAGCACTGTTGCTGCCTAGCTGCCTTCTATGTGTATGTATGTATGTGAGAGTGTGTGTATGTGAGTGTGTGCGTGATCCTGAGAGAGAGAGAGAGCGTGAGAGCTGTAGAGAGCTGCGAGGTTGAACTACGTTGGGTTGCGGCAGCGGGGGCAGCTGCAGCTGCTGCTGCTGCCGTTGTACGGTGGGGGGGGGTTCCGGGGGGGGGCAGTGCGGGGGGCACTGTGTTGCGCCATGGCCGTGGGGGTGTGTACCCCCTACACACCTGCAAACCGCCCGATACGAGCCGAGGGCTTAAGGGCTGCCAGGTCGCCTATGAGCACGTAGCCCTTGCGGGGCCTCTTTCCTTACGACGACGTGCCCCCAAGAAAACTTAGAAAACGGAGGAGTAGTCCCCCCCATCCGGCCTCTTATGGGTTGGAGAGGGACTCTGCGACCTCCTGTCGCAAAACTTGGTGTGCCACAGACCCACGCTGTAAACGGACACGGTTCCAAAACCTCACAATCTGTTTGAAAACGTGGTAGTGTAGGGGTAGCTGTGACAGTTCGGCAAACAGGAGGCGGTGTGTTGGTCTGGCAGCTCCTACAATTTGTCGCATGAAAGATATCTGGAGCTGCACCGCTCATGATTCTTCAGACATGCCTCGCGAAGGGCGCCTCCGCAAGCTTACTCCGCCTCCTGAGCCTGTCCAAGACTTCAGCTATAATTGCATAAACGCTCCCCACGCTTGACAGCCGTACAACAGTATTGCTCGTACCTGGGTATCGAAACACATCATCCTCACATCTGGGCCGAACAACTTTAGCTGATCCAAAATCGTACTCAGTGCGAACAAAGCTGCCCTAGGTGTGTCGTACAACTGCTGGTGGCAGGCACGAACATTTCCACACGTTGGGCAGCAGCCCAAAGGTATCACAGAACAAGTCCACGACTGTGAGCAGCTCCGCCATGTGGTCCGGTGTCGTTGGTTTGGCTGCATGGCGATTTGTACTTCTTGTCATTTGAATTTTGAAACACTGTGCCATTTGAAATATGATGCTGTCGTACTTTGTTGCAACTAGCACTCCCGAAGTACGCATGCTGTCGTGTGGGGTACCAATAGGGGTAGTATGGGGTGGTGGCGGAGGACAAACGACCGCTCCGGCCATTGGACGGTTTGGCATCAGGGTATCAGGGTATCAGGGGCCCTGGCTTGGCGCGGTACGTGGTCGCCTTCTCCTCGGGTTCTGTTGGTGGGCCGCGGGGCTTATGTAACATTTGCAAAGTTGATTTGTGGATTGCATCGGGCCGGTGGATATGTCAATATAATCGTCGGAGTAGTGTATTGTGACTACAGTGAACAAGTTACAAGTTACAAGTTCCGCACTTGTATGCACACAAGTGCGGATGTGTCCGTAAAAACCGGAACAGGACTCGCACTGTGGATTACCGTTCCGGATTGTGTACTTGGCGGACTTTCTTCACGGCCCATCACGTATCCATCCCATTATACAGTATATTGGAGCCCTGCTCATCTGACGTATGTAAACACCCGCTCACCTATCCCCTGAACGGCCGCACCGACGTCCTCTGCTTGCTCACAAATGTCCATTAGTAGAGGCTCTTACCTTGCAAAAGAATATGGACCGAGACATGAAGTATACAGGAATCACAGGAGCTCTATATTGGGCGACCTGGCGACGCACTTTTCCAACCGGATTTGCAACTGTCGCCACTAGGACACCCCTATTGTACCTGATCGACCAACATATCAGCACGCGAGTGGATGTGATGTAGTAAAATAGTGTGGTGGCTTTCCATACAATCGGAATCCATCAAACGAGCAATTGTTGTAGACCTGTCGACGCACTGAACACCAGTCTGAGGTTAGGGTCTTGGTGGTGGCCGCTAGCCAAGAGTTACGGGCTTCCCACCTTTTATGTTCTTTGGCTCTCGAGTTGTTTGCCGTCTCTGCATCCCTCCCGGCTTTGCCAAGACGGCTTCCACGTGACGTTCCGGGCAGACACTCCAAGTCAGGCTGGAACCTTCTTAGTTGGCCAAGGATATATGTTTTGTAACTAGCTGGAGATGCCTACAATGCCCCAATTTGTGAGACTGCTTATGTTGCCAGTGAATTTCGACAATTCAGAAGCTGCATGGAGCTGCAAAAACCTGAGCTATGGATGCCCCTTTCCACTTTGTCTTTCAGGGTGCAAAGCCGCAACTTCCAACGGATCAACAAGTCGGCAGTGATTCTGGCGACCATTGCGAAGCGGCATTATCAGTTAGCGGCCGTGCATCTAGCGACGCGTCGGCCGCGTCAAGCCTCGCAGATGATTTGCAGCGTAAGACGGATACCCTCGGCTCATCAAGCACACACACACACACACACACATCGCGCGGGCCCGGTGTAGGGCTTCCCTCCCGGATGTTGCAAATGCAATTGTCTGTCTGCGCGCTTCACGCTACCAACGCCCTTTAGCCATTCCTAGATAACATAGAATTATCAGCCATGTCTATTAGCAAACCGTTCTTCATTATCCTTCCTCTCTTACGTGCCCGCAGCCAGAAGCATGGCAGTGCTACCGGCCGAGAACCTGCCCCAGGAAGAAGAAGAAGCAGCCTCCACGACGGGCTGCCTCTGCCTGCCTCCCCTCCTCCTCCGCGTCCTACGTAGTGCAGGCCCGGGAGGCACCATCAGGAAGGGGACCGCGGCTGGGGCCCCCGCCACGGGTACTTCCAAGGCCTCGCTGTGCCATACCCGAAGCGCTCCTCTGCCCTCCACCTCCCCCACCCCCCCGCTACACATCCCCTTCAACATCCTGGTCATCGGCGCCAGCAACCTGGGCAAGACGCGCTTCGTTGCCGACCTCCTGCAAGCGTGTGGTGGCGGGGGGGGTGGCGGGGGGGGTGATGTGTCGATACGCTCCGTCCGGGGCGCCAACTCCAGTGAGTGTGTGTATACGCCAGTGTGTTTGTATGTCTGTCTGTCTGTATGCATGTATGCATGTTTGTACAATGGTGTGAGAGGAAAGGGTTTAGGCGAGTCGGGTGTCCTCTAACTCCCCCTCTTGCTCCTTGTTGTTGGCAGTATTGAGGCCAGGCATTTCTATCGACCATGAACCTCACTGGAGGCCCTCCATTCCCCGCCGCCGGCGTGATTTATCACAGCCTCACAGCCCTCACAGTCCTAGGAGGAGGGGGGGTCACCGCGCGTGGCGCCAACCCGCACCTTGCTGGCCTCACCTTCCAGTCCTGGCCTCTCCCGGCCAGCTGGGGCGCTGGAAGGTGGCAATTTTATTTACGTCTGCATCACTATCATCCGTCATCCCCGCCCTCCTCCCTCAGCCCGCGTGTCCCTTGATCTGTGTGTGTATTTG